TATGATGTTTACATGTCAAGAGCAAAGCTCTTCACTCCCGTTTACATGCAATTTCCATTATTCTTATTATTCGCTAAGAATTGTGGTTTTTTTTTTTACTGCCATTATTCACACACCCCACTGCACAGCACAAACGATGGACTAGAAAGAGCAGGTATGTTACTGGCCGCTGTTTTATTTAATGCAAAACACGTTTGTATGATTGTATTCCATACTTTTTCATTGCCATAGAAATGTGATGGCAGTTCGTTTGCCTACACTGGCAGCTAGTTGTGTTTTCCCCAGAAATGCGATGCTTTCTTCCCCGCCATCGTTTCTAATTTGCGTATTATTACAGGTGCGCATCACGTCATTCATGTATGTCACAAGCACATGCGCACTTTGGTCAGAGCGGCAATACTGCGATTAAGGTGTTTACATGCCTGTTTATTTCGATTAACATCGGTGTACCTATGTTAATACGATTATTCTTGCTGTGATTATGAGTTTAATCGCATTATTTAAATCGAAGTCTTGCATTTACATGAGGTAAAGTTTAATCGCAATATTGATAAATATCTAATTATAATCGCATTAAGAGGGTGCATGTAAACGCACTCAATGATAATAATAAAAATCTGAAGAATCATGTGACGCTGAAGAATGGAGTAATGGCTACTTTGCTATTACACAAATACAAAACACTAAAAAATATTCTAATATACAAAACAGATATTTTAAATTGTAATATTTCACAAAATTTATATGTTAGTTTTTTGAATTAAATAAATGCAGGCTTGATAATATAAACTTTCAAAAACATGTTAAAAATATTACTGATCCCAAACTTTTGAACGGTAGTGTATTTGATCAAATTTAGCACTCATAGGGAAATATGATAATGTTTTGTAATTATCATTTAAATCTGGCTAATTTTCAAATTGTTTGTCGTAAATAAACATCTCAGAAAAATGTTATTGCGTAATGGGGCATAATTGTCATACATGTCTTCTGTAGAGGATACCAAGACAAGCATAATGCTAATCAGGCATTTTGGGGAGACACAACAAGTCAATAAGGAAAGAAATTATAGATCGATATTCCTATGAAATATGAGATTCTTATGAAAATGTTGCCAAGTTATTACTCCCATTATTACTCTTCTTTTTTTCATTATGGTTTGCCCCAAGAACACATTAATATGCAATGCAATGAATAGACACGTTGTATAGAATGGGAAAACCCATTTATGGACATTTTAGGCACATATTACATAAGGTACAGTTATAGTAGTATATCAAATAATTCTGTTACATCTTTCATAACATAGTTGAGAATCATCTTTGTACAAAGTTTGGCTAAAAATAGCCTGAAACCTAAAAACTGATTGGTGAATGAAAAAATAAAACATTGTTTTTGCCTATACGTACCTTTTCATGTCTTTTTAAAAAAAAAAATTTATTAACTTAGTCCTGGCGTCCTTTACAAAGGACATAGAATAAAATATGAATAAAATATATTTTTTAATGTTTTCTCCATTTGTTTCTTATGCTCCAACCAATGTAATGACATAAAAAATAAATAAAAATTCACAAAACATTTATGGTTCTCGGGAGGATATGAATATTCTGCGAAATATTGCAAAATATTAGGCTAAATATAAAGTATATTGTTTTTATACAAGATATTGTTTATGTACACTGACTATAAATGAACTTTTTTTTTTTTTTTAAATCCCTGTAGGGAATATACATGGGAAAGATACTTCCAGAACCAAGGCATCTAAAAAGTGGGCGGTTACTGTTTTGCTCTATAGAGCCAGTTTAGATTCACTTGCATTGACCTGCTGCTCATGTGCTGAGTGGTAATTGGCACAGTTGAGACTGTAAGCTGGCTGAATGCTGATTGTGTATGTGTGCGCCTCTCTCTCCCTGCAGTCCTGGCCACATGCCCGCTTTGTTTCTCAGCATCAGTGTGCCCTTACTTCTTTCAGCCCAGTGCCTCACGTCAGAGTCTTCTGGGGTGAAAACACAGGGCATAGACACTTTATTTACTTTGTTAATATTTGCACTGCTCTGTTGTTTTTCCCTTTCCTTTTTAGGATCTGTGTTAACTATATAGAACATTTATCTATGATAAAATATGATCCAGAATATCACACCATTAGTATTGTTGACATACTGTGCTTCCATATGCTGTAAGATAGGTAACAAGAGCTGCGTTTGTACGATTTGGGCTGTGGTTGTCTCCTCATCTTCCTTTCACATGCTTCTCAGCTCTCAGAGAGGAAGTAATCTTTGGTGTTATTGCTTGAGCCCTTTCCAATGTAAACAGTAATTGAAGTCGATGCCATCAGGAATGCCATTTAAAGACATTAACAGCTATGACAGTCTGACTCATAGATTACACTGAGCACTCAGAGAAAATAAGGAGGGAGATTGTGGAAACACATTGCAGGCAATTACTCATGCAAATATGGAAGGATCCGACCAGAAAAAAGTAAGCAATAAAACAATGATAACTTGTTACAGGAAGCTAAGGCTGTTCTAAAGGCTTTCTAAAGAGCAAAATGTTTTTGTTCTGTTTCACTCCTTTATAGGACTTAAATAATTTCGTATCCTGCTGACTGAAGTAGGCTTGGAGGTTAAAAAACTTTAAGACTAAAGCTAGTTCAGTTGTAATGCTCACACATTTGGAAGATTCTATTAAAACAGAAAGCTTATCAGATTATATTAAGTAAGAAGAAAAATCCTACAGGAGGCATGGCAGGACTTTTGTTCTTCAGTTGTCTTGTCTGATATGGTGTGTGTACGACAGGAATGCTTCCTGCAAAGCATCTGATGATGAAGAGCAAGCAGCTCTAGATCCATTATACATTTACTGGAAATGTCTGGCCATATTAGCGCTGTTTATGTCCAAAATAGACATAAAGCAATTACACAGGTCAGTTCCTCTCTTTCACAGCTGGTTGAAAATACACATGCTTTATTTTTTGGGGTGATCCAAGGATATTTTAACATTCTTATATTTCTTTCAGAAAGAAAGAAGATTAGTATGTGTACGAACAGTTTTTATGTTCTATAAAGTAAGTAACTTTAAAACACTCTTCATTTTTTGAACACGCAATGCAGTAAGAATGCTAAGTATGGGCAGTCGTGGCATAATGGTTAGGGAGTCGGACTTGTAACCCAAAGGTTGCGGGTTCGAGTCTCAGTACCAGCTGGGATTGTAGGTGGGGAATAAATGACCAGCGCTTACTTCCACCCTCAATACCACGACTGAGGTGAGACCCTTGAGCAAGGCACTGAACCCCCAACTGCTCCCCAAGTGCCGCAGCAAAAATGTCCGCCCACTGCTCTGGTTGTGTGTTAACGATGTGTGTGTTCACTACTCACTGCTGTGTGTGTGCGCACTTGGATGGGTTAAATGCAGAGCACAAATTCTGTGAATGAGACACCATACTTGGCTACACGTTACTTCCTTTCCTTTCCAAAAAACATCTTACAGATATACACTTTATTTTATTTTATTTAAAGAAATATACAAATGAATCATACATACATACATGCTGTGATGTATATTGATTCTGCAGTTTCCATAACCGTAGCTTTCTAATATTTGAAGCTTGTCACCTCCCTCTTGCTCTCCTTGCATAGCACTAAATCTGAAATGCTGAGCACATTTCTTTCTTGGGACATGAGCACAGGGCAAGCAGGGAGGCTTGGTTTTCACTCACAGCTTTCTCTCTCTCTTTCTCTCTCTCTCTCTCTGTGTGTGTGTGTGGAGACAGAAGGACTCTGCAGTCCTTGCCTGTGTGAGTTTTGGCCCATCTCATATCAGATGCAGCTAGCAGGTTAATGAGAGTCTTTGAAAGTCATATTCAGAATTTGAACTTTTAACATGAAATGCCATTTCTAATTTATATTAGTCAGCACTGTGCCCATTATTATGCTATATTTGCAAGTTTTTACTTGCATTTGGCGCATAGCAAGCGTTAATTTTGGCCCCTGATTTGAACATTTCTAAGATAAGCAACTAAATAAAAGTTAGTAACACCTTTTAGTATCCTTGTTGCACTTGTTACACGCTCACTATACTGTAGTAATAACAGTAAATTATGCATGATCACGAGCAACTAATTCTAAGCCAAGCCCTTGCACTAACCATATAGTATGTGCATGTTGTTAATTAATATTACTTGCTACTTATTTGTGTAATTAGACTGTAACAAGGACACCTTAAAATAAAGTGTTACATAAAATTCTTATCATAATGTTCCTCTCTCTTTGTTTTGGATTGTGTGCAAGAATGTACGCTTCTGTATGCCACCCATTGTTGCTAATCTGTTCTCTGCTGTCATCTTAAGGCTTTTAAATACAATTATATTGTCCCTTGATTCCATTTTTAAAGCTGTTAGCGTATTGTAGGAAATTGTTATTGTACTTAAGGTGGACACTTGGGATCAGAGCTTTGTAGGGTTTCCAAGGTGTCCATTTATTTATTGCATTGGAAATGCATTTGAATTGTGTCCATACAGCTATAGTCCATTAGCTCATGTAGAAGACTCTCTCTCTCACTGTCTGAATGTGGGTATTCAGTATGGCAACTCTCCCACCAAAAACAATGAAACAGATCAAAGTACAAATGATAAAAGTAGTTTAGCAAAGAGCGAATGACCTTAAGTCTTAATTTCTACTGCACTCATCATGGTGCGAAAAGAACCGAGCAGACCATTAAATGAGAAACTTGTGCCAAATGCTTTTGTAATTCCATTATCGAGCCCACTGTTTTTTTTTTCTCTAGCTCTCTGTGGTGCTGGGAGACAGAAAACTGAAATGTCATGCCATGTCATTGGAAAATTATAGCCATATTATTAGGTATGATAACACAAGCTGAACAGCTATTGTTTTCCTGACCTATAAGCTCTCTCTTCTAGCTCATTATCATATTAACATGTTATTTATATCAATGGTAACCTCTCCACCTGTAGTTCCATGAATGAAGGATCCAGCAGATGGAGCTCTCCAGCCTGGGGCTCAGATGTCTCTCTCACTCTCCTCCTGTCAGCTCTGTGGAGTTGGGGTATAAATCTTGCCTCACATAGGTCGGCCAATAACAATGAGGCGGATTTTCTGATGAGCCAGCAAGATTCCTCTCTGTGCCAGCTTCAGGAAAAAAGAGTGAGACTGACTTCATGACTTATAATGAGGACTCATTTAATTACATTTCCTAAATTTTAAACCCATGTTAAATGTCCAGTGCCTAGCGTTGGTTTTTAGAGCAGCTCTTCCGTGGCTTAATATGGACTCCATGGCAGCAGCTGTCAGGTGGACCATGGAATATCTATGCTGCATACATCCACCCTACCGTCTGCCCTGTAATAGCAAGGTGAATGTTCAGTAGATATATACTACCAGTCAAAAAGTTTGGACAATGTTTTTGGAAGAATTCTCTTATGCTCACCATACATTTATTTGATCAAAACCAAAAATCTTTTTTTTTTTTTTTTTAATTCCTAAATATTATTACAATTTAAAATATTTTTTATATTAAATAGTTTAAATAGTTTTATATTTTAATATATTTTCAAATGCAATTTATTCATGTGATGGCAAAAGCTGAATATTTAGCTCCAGTCTTCTGTGTCGCATGATCCTTCAAAAATAGTTCTAATATAATGATTTGGTGCTTAAGACGGGCTCACACTACAGGAGTTTTAAAATCCTAACCGATTATGAAATCTGGTTGCAGCTCACACATAAGGAGAATCTTTGCAGATTATCTTCTCTCAAATCTTAAACATGCACACACTACAAGATTTGAACATCATGGCACATCACACACTACAAGATATTATTAAGATTATCATGCCAGAGGGAGCGCCTCACGTGATCGCCTCGTGATCAGGGGCGTGTCTACGTGGTGGTCCCAGGTCCCCCCCACCAGATATCTTACGATAGGCTTGTTTTTAGTAAATTTCTAACTGCATCTGGCAGTGGCGGATCCTGTGTAGGCAGCTGCCTAGGGCCGCTTTCTTCTCTTCTTTATACTTAATTTTAAGCGGTTTCTGTAGCGTAATCTTAATGACAAATGTCGAGCGCGCATAATGTTACGCAATCCTCGCATCACTAAAGACCAGAAGCTCTTTTTTCTAATTCAGGTGAAGAGTAGCCAAGGCTTTTCTTACTAAATGGAAGCAAACTGGTTATAGTCAGCCTTCTCTAGTTATTTATTTAATTATTTAATACTTACTTTAGTTAAGTGCTTAAATTGTAAATATGCATTTATTAAATTATTTTATCTAGTGCATTTGTATTTTGTTGTTTTTTATTGTATTATGGGCTATACAATAAAAGCGTACCAACCAGAAATAATCACTGAGGGTCATAATCACTTTTGACATTAGTGAGGGTGCTCTAGTCTTATTGCACATTTTCACATATTTTGTCCCATCTATTGCTATGGTTATCACCGTGTCAATCACTACTACTTCGAGAGCGAATACAGCATAAATATGCGGATGTCATTCCTGAAACTTTGTAACGTGTGTGTGTGGCCGAAAAACAAAGTTCTACATTTGAAATGGATTATTACCTAGAAAACTCGCAAAGAGCGCTCCTTTTTTAACCACTAAAAACTGTCACTCTTAGTTCATCGTGATCTCACAAAGTTCTGTTATGACCAATGAATCTCACACTGCAATTAATATATTATTAACATCGTTGTGTAAACACTCTGTAGGCCTATGTTATAATGAAAGGATTCGATTGTGATCAGCACAGAACAAAAACTGGTGTGTGTCGCAGCCATTAGGTAAACCAGCATACATTCATGAGGATGATGAAAGTGTTTTAACTTGAGTAAAGCCCCCATACCCCCTGCTCGTGACTCCCCCTGCCACCCCCGTACACGTTCAAAACTGAGGCGATTTCACTCCAGCGCTTCTCTTTCTCCTTACGGTTGTGATACGTTTTCGACACATTATACTGACAGTGTTACTACAAAACACCAAGAAGCAGTTTCCTCCGTCTCGACTATCCAATGGAGCCGTACAGCAGCTGTTTTGCGGTCGCACATTGGCTATTGTAAAGGTACTGATGTAATCATATAGCCGTCATCGTCCCGATTTCAATCCTAAATATCAAACATGTTTGATATGATCGGGGCGGCCCCGATTTGTGTGCGAGCAGATCGGGAGGTGCAAGATTCGATCTGTGAATGCCTCACATTACCAGATAATCCGCGCCGAACATCGGGACCGATCGAGGGGCTTGACAAGATTTTTGCTCCGATTTTCGGGAGGGGTAAATCGGGGCTAAATCGGGCTAAAAATCCTGTAGTGTGAGCCAGGCTTTAGGAAACATTTCTTAATACCAATGTAATAAAAAATAAAAAAAGAATTCTTAGAGGATTCTTTGATTAATAGAATGTTCAAATGAACACAATTTCACTTTTGATTAATTAAATGTACACTTGCTAAATAAAAGTTATAATTTCTTTAAAAATTTGTATATGTGTGTGTATATATGTGATACATACATACAGTGGGGCAAAAAAGTATTTAGTCAGCCACCAATTGTGCAAGTTCTCCCACTTAAAAAGATGAGAGAGGCCTGTAATTTTCATCATAGGTATACCTCAACTATGAGAGACAAAATGAGAAAAAAAAATCCAGAAAATCACATTGTAGGATTTTTAAAGAATTAATTGGTAAATTCCTCGGTAAAATAAGTATTTGGTCACCTACAAACAAGCAAGATTTCTGGCTCTCACAGACCTGTAACTTCTTCTTTAAGAGGCTCCTCTGTCCTCCACTCGTTACCTGTATTAATGGCATCTGTTTGAACTCGTTATCAGTATAAAAGACACCGGTCCACAACCTCAAACAGTCACACTCGAAACTCCACCATGGCCAAGACCAAAGAGCTGTCAAAGGACACCAGAAACAAAATTGTAGACCTGCACCAGGCTGGGAAGACTGAATCTGCAATAGGTAAGCAGCTTGGTGTGAAAAAATCAACTGTGGGAGCAATTATTAGAAAATGGAAGACACACAAGACCACTGATAATCTCCCTCGATCTGGGGCTCCACACAAGATCTCACCCCGTGGGGTCAAAATGATCACAAGAACTGAGCAAAAATCCCAGAACCACACGGGGGGAACTAGTGAATGATTATAATTTTATAGTAAATAAATAATTATTAATAATGGTAATAATTCAGTTTTAAAATTTTTTTGTCCCTATAGTGCATATTTCCATTTGTTATTTCATGGTTTATGAATTTACTATTATTCTGGAAAAAAAAAACAAATTCACAGCCACATGATTTAAAGGTATCTTTCATGTCCATAACACAGACATTTTTGGGTTAGAAGGGTTAAAAAAAAAAGGTCAGAGCATTAGTAATAGTGATGTCTTGATAAGCAAGCCCCACTAATAAAGAATGAGTCAGTGTGTCCAAACTTTTGACTGGTGTTGTAGCTGGAACAGGACACATTGCTAGATTGTTTCAGACTATTGCTACCAGAAGCATATTGCATTCAGTTGCAGTGATGCACTTCACTGAGAACCAAAATTGTTCTTCTTAGCTGTGTGTTTTGCAGAAAACATTAAGGCTGAAGGTGACTGAGACAGTAAGAGGCAAAGGAAGAATGGTTTTAAGTTACCCTTATGCTAATGAACCCATTAATGACTGCAGAAACCGAGATGTAGGGATAGTTTTCTCCACCAGTGGAGCTTTTATGTGTCATACATTGCACCAGACCCTGACAGCTTTCCATTGCCCGTCTGCCTCGGAGCTGATAAAGAACTACAATAAATCTTTCAGCTAAATCCAGGGCTTGTCTCAGTCTATAAAAACACAGCATGAATTGGACCTTGACACCCCTCCCCTTAGCTGTGTGTTTTGCAGAAAACATTAAGGCTGAAGGTGACTGAGACAGTAAGAGGTAAAGGAAGAATGGTTTTAAGTTACCCTTATGCTAATGAACCCATTAATGACTGCAGAAACCGAGATGTAGGGATAGTTTTCTCCACCAGTGGAGCTTTTATGTGTCATACATTGCACCAGACCCTGACAGCTTTCCATTGCCCGTCTGCCTCGGAGCTGATAAAGAACAACAATAAATCTTTCAGCTAAATCCAGGGCTTGTCTCAGTCTATAAAAACACAGCATGAATTGGACCTTGACACCCCTCCCAGATTCAGCAATGCACATTTTATAGCACAAGCCCGGTGACAGATGGGTAAAACCAATACGGTCACCCCGTGATAACTGTCAGCTGTCCACAGCACCATACAGGTGTGCTGTATATGTGTTTTCTTATAGACCTTCCAGCCTCTGTATATAAACTAGTTAAACGTTTAGTTTAATGTTAGATTTGGAGTTTAGTACCATGCATTCAAACTTGATTTCAACAAATAATGCATTTCAACCAACAATAACTTTGTTGGCCAGGACACTCCTGGAAAAGAGATTTTAATCTTACTGAGTCTTTTCCTGGTTAAATAAAGATATTAAACGGATTTATTTTACTTTTTAATAAATGCATAGTTTCTTGAATAGTTTTGAGTGATGACACAAACAGATCATTGAACTAGAGTTTGAATCCATTCATGAAAATAACAGTTTGAACTGCTTCACAGAAATGAACTGTACTAGCTCTAACATCATTTTTGCTTCTGAAATTTAATTAAAAACAGTATTTTTCACATTCACATGTTTGCTAGACAAATATATTTTTTGTTTAATCTCAGGAAATGGCTTACCCTGAAAGGCTGTGCGTCTGTACAGTACCAGTTTGTTTGCTGCATGTGTTTGCGTAGATTATTATTTCATTTTAGGTTAAAGGTTCACATTTTGTTTTATTGTAAACGGGTGCTTTTCCCAAGGATAGTCATATCAGGAGGTCAGATTTGTTTATACTTGAGTTCATACTTTAACCCTGGAGACAAGGATCTAATGACTTTGCTGCTTTTTGTTTTTCGTCTTTTCTCTGAAACATTATCAGTATCAATCCTAATTGGCAAATAAAATGCTGAGCACATTGTTTTCAGTGAGCACTTCTTGAAACACAAGCCTCAAGGGGGCTATGGGGTATGACACACATTTCTGTGTGTGTGTCTGTAGGGGTTGTTTATTGGGCCCTGTGGAATAGGACTATACACCAAGCCACTTTGTGATTCACAGTTTTTTGGAATATACTGTATGCTACTGTTTACAGTAAGGAATTAATACTTTTATTTAGCAAGGACACTAAATTTATCAAAAGTGACAGTAAAGACATTTAAAATGTCTCAAATTATTTCTATTTTAATAAACAATGTTCTTTTGAACTTCATTCAAAAATCCCGATGTACCTTGGTTATCACAAAAATATTAATCACACAGGATCATGTGACTGGGGTGAATGCTGCTGAAAATTCTGCTACGCCATCACAGGCATAAATTACATTTTAAAATGTGTAAGGGATAATGTATATCCATCCGGTTGTTATGGCTTTGACAGTCTAATCAGGACTCCGACGCAAAGCAGATTACAACTGCTACTTCCCACACAACTAAATAATTGGACACAAAAATATTGATTTGAGTTTAAATATTTAATTAGCTCACTAAACGCAAAGCTTCTGTTAAGAAAACAGTTGCTAACAGGTGCCTTCTAGCAAAGATGAATGAACAAGTTCAAATTAGACAAACAGAATACGGAATACAATACGGTACACTGCTTTAAACCACATAATTATAGGGACAAGAGATATTGTTTTGAGATAATTATAGATATATTGAGATAATATGAATTATAATGCTATTTCACAGTATTACTGTTTTACTGTATTTTTTAATCCATTGAATGCATCCTTGGTAAGCATATAAGACTTTCAAAAACATTTGAAATATCTAATACTAATACTACAAACTTCTGAATCGTAGTGTTCATCTTCTAAACTTCCATATCAACTTTTAAACAATTAGACATTCATGTGCATAATAAAATATTCCCCATAGTCCATATGTGTATGCCAGCAACCCAAGTCTAGATATGCTCTGCTGAAAGCTTTACAGATCAAAATTGTATCAGCGTAATTTTCAGATTGGCAGTCGTGTGATACTAGCTAATGCAATTGAACTAATAGCCCTGCTGTTGAGTTCAAAATGGATGAGGATTAATGGGAAGACAAGCTATATTTGCTAGAAATTATTTGCATTGTCCTCTCACTAACTTTCTCACTAGCTGATTTATTTCCTTTGAATTAAATTTTCTGTGTAGGAAACCAGGTGGATATATGTCTTATGCGGATGATGTAGATTAATGAGTCTTAGGGAAGCCTTATTAATTATTTATCAAGATAAAATGTAGATGATGGTAAAGGAACCTGTTTAGTCGAGTCCCACAGGATACTAATTATTTGCCCCGCTAATTGTAAACTACACTGTGCAAAATCAGCATCATTAGTACCCACTGGGACAATTTATAATGATTAGTCTAGCCGAGAACTTGGATACAGTGTTTTGGCTTTTTGATCAATCAATGTCATAAGCTCTTAGGATGACAGCCATTTGACAGAGCAGATCTTCTCGGATCAGATTTGCTGCACCTTTCCTTTCTTCAACGCATTTATAAGCAGGAGCCAAGATACGAGTTCATGTGCCTGTGTAGACACAGCCCTGTCCTGCAGTAGTGGGGCTGAACAGCATGTGGACTGTTAGACTCTATTCTCCCAGCTGCTGTTTGTGTGTGCCAGATTTCTCTCACCGCTGCTGACAAACCATGCAGACAGAGAGAGAGCGAGAGAGTTCACAGGCATCGGTGGGAGAATTTGCAATCTCATTTTTTCTTGTGTAATCAAAATTGGAGCTCTGTCACAGCGAAAACCATTTGTCTGGGAATTGAGGACTTTCTTTCCCCTGAGGTCTCACTGGCCCTGAGACTTTGTCATCTAAATTGACGGAGGATGTGATTTTGAGCCAGCATAGAATTTCATTCCCATCCTGCAGGCCTGCATCTTCTTTTCTGGGAGAAACATGGCCACGGTGTGGGAATGAGACATTCCAGTAGACAGTAATGCAAGATTGAAGAATTGTTCCTGAAAGATAATTTCATTCACACGTAAGAGAATTGTCTTTTCTGAGCAACAACTGCAGTGATGATATGTGCATCTATTTGTTTTCCACACCATTTGCAATCAATATATCAGCTGTTAAGTCTTTAAGGGATTTTATTTACTCAGTTTGCTTCTAAGGTATGAAGTTTTAAAGCAGAATTGTTGGTAGTTTTGTATATGGTATTTGTTACATGGCGAAAAAAAGGTATGTGGTTCAAATGATGAACAGATTTGGCTATTTCAACTACACCCATTATTAATAGGTGCAATTGGTTTGAAAATAAATGTCCAGCAAATGCATATGTGTCCACGTATTTTTAGCCTTGTGGTGTTTATGTGTGTAGACAATGGACAATGTTGACAATAGTCCATTATTGTAATGCTTATTAAATTCATTATGATCTAATTTGTTGGAAAACCTATTGGTGTCAGCATTCACTGCATGTTTGCCATTCATTGATTCCTTCAACCTGACTCTCAAATATGATAAAGGGCTCCAGTAATTCACTTGGTTATCATTGTCTAAACATCTTTCTTTTTCCTTTCTTCTTGTCTCCTTACAGCTCAGATCGGCTTATTGATGACACAATAAGGTAAGTCTAGCTTCATACAAACAGTTCAAATACTTCTTACACAGGCTATACATTTATAAATGGCAACAGTTTCCGTTTGTATTTGTTTTACTAAAATATCTGTGCCCGGTTGCATAAAGCACCTTAAAGGGTTAGTTCACTCAAAAATGCACATGACCAGTTGATGGGAAAAGTATTCTTAAAATGCATTCCACATTCTGAATAATCTGTAATGTATAATTATTCACGGTATTTAGAAGTGCCCACGATAACAATATTGTGCATATTCATTACCGTGATATATCGCATTACCGAATACCGGCACAAGTCTACCCTCAAGTCATCCTAGGTGTATATGACTTTCTTCTTTCAGACGAGTCCAGTCGGAGTTATATTAAAAATTGTCTTTGATCTTTCAAGCTCTTTAATGCCACTCAGCGGGTGTTGCATGCATCAGTCCAAAAGAAGTTAAATAAAAAGCGCCCATCCATTAAAAAAATTGTCTCACACGGCTCCGGGGGGGTGAACAAAGGCATCCTGTAGCGAATCAATGCGTTTTTGTAAGTAAAATATCCATATTCAAAACATAATAATCACTTTAATGTAGCTTGCACCAACAGTTGTCCACGGAAGCAGCTTCGGGCGGATGATGTATTAGGTCAGCTTTGCGAATGCGCCGATCAGAAGTGACGTACGTGGAAGCGCAGTGGAGAGATCAAAACAAAACAACGGTCACTTATTAGAAATACAAAATGAGGATTTGTAAGGAAGAATGTCGGAGGATTTTGATATAAGCCATGAGCTGCTTCCGTGTACAACTGTTGGCGTTTATTTAACTTCTTTTGGACTGATACATGCAACACCCGCTGAGTGGCATTAAACAGCTTGAAAGATCAAAGACAATTTTTAATATAACTCCCGACTGGATTCGTCTGAAAGAAGAAAGTCATATACACCTAGGATGACTTGAAGGTGAGTAATTTATGGGCTAATTTTTATTTTTGGGTGAACTAACCCTTTAAGTTTTTCCCTTAAGTATGAGAATTAAGGCGTGATTTCCCCTTACCTAAGGGAATGATTTAAGGGTGTTGCATATAATCCCTTAAAAACTTCCCTTAGCAAAGGGAAACCGTAAAGTGTTTCATGACAGAGACCCAGGTTTTGCCATTAAAAAATCGACTGTTGCCATGGTCACGTTATTTGTTAATGCAGATAGCGGTGTAAGTTTTCACAGAAAACAATATAACATGGATAAGGAAAACAAAAAAGAAAACCAAATATGAAAGAGAAGGACCAGATGAGACCGAAACTCAAATTGATAATTCTGAAAAATCATTTGATCACCTTCGTGTCAGTTCAAACCCATACGACTTTTATTCATCTTTGGACAACAAATAAAGATCTCTCATAATTTCTGTCCATGTAGAGGTTTTCAGGGACTGGTGTGAATAAATACATATTTAAATGCAAAGAGACAAGATAGTCTATGCATGACGTTTTATTCGTATCCAAAACAATGTGAACATTAAAGCGCTAAACTCTCATGCAGTGTGTGTTTCATTCATACTCGAAGCCGGAGGGCGCTCTCGCACTGAAAGTCTAAACCGGATTCATAGAAGTAGCCTATTTTATAAGCTGAATAAAAAGCAGAAACGTAAACACAATAAACTCACGATTGCAAGAATATATGGTTTATTTGTGTTTTTCAAGTCATCTCCAGGTAATATGTAGGAAAATACAGGAATAAAATATAATGGAATATAAATTTGATTTTGAGTGTGACGCACTCACGTTTGAGCTAATTATTTGCTGTATGTAATCAGTGTTTATATGTGAATAAATGAGTAAATTAAAATCTGTTTAACATATAAAGCGGCAGATAATGACTTGTAGAAGACTTTTGTATAACACTTAAGGTGACATTTTCCAAGCCTCGTGTTATCCTTAGGAAAATGACAGTTAAGAGGCTTTATGCAATACTTCATGGGTTTTAAGTGATACTTAAGAGAAATTCTAAGGGTTTATGACGTTTCATCTAAAGAAACCCTTAAGTAACATTTAAGGGATATTTTATGCAACGCCCTTAAGTGTAAGGGAAACTTAAGGGCGATCTTAAGGGAAAATTACACTTAAGGTGCTTTATGCAACCGGGCACTGGTCTGTTCTTAAAGAAGAGCCTGCTAAGGGTCATAAATTCAAGGAGGAATATCTCCGTCATTGGATGGATACAAACCACTGACACATTGCTTTTACTTTGAGTTGACTATTGCTAGATTAAAACTAAAAGTGGATTTAAACTCTTAAAGTTCAAAAATGAAAATGCTGTCATTCATTAACCTTCATGTAATTTCAAATCTTTCTTCTGTGGAATTTTGAAGAATTTGTGTTTTTCTCCAATAAAATTCAATGGGGACCAAAAGAGTGTTATTTAAGTATTATTTATATGTTATTATAGTATTTTTTATTATTTTGAAATGGCTTTTATTTTATATTTTTCAGTGTTCATTTTAATTTGTTTAATAATAAGTCGTTTTGTTATGTTTTTTATTATTTTTTTTATATTAATATTTAGGTTTAATTCTATTTTAATTTTAGTTATTTATTTCCAATTAGTAATTTTAGTGCTTTAACTTTCATTTAGTTTAGGCTTTTCATCTAATATTTATATTTTATTTAATTTCAGGCATATTACAATTAACAAAAAATTTTTAAAATAGTTTTTAGTTCATGATAATAAACAAAACACTAGACCCCATTGACTTCAATTGTATTGACAAAAAAAAACAGACATTTTAAAAATATGTTCTTATGTGTTCTGCAAAAGAAAGTAAGTCATACATTAGGGTTGTGACGGTGGGGAAATTTTCCCACCGGTTAATCGACGTGTGACAACACCAGTAATACCGGTATCACCGTTGCACATTTTACTTTCACTTTCAAATTAGCGGCAATTGAATTGCTGCAATTCTGCATTAAGCAATTGTTCGTTTGAGTTTTCCCTCTTTTCCTCAGATTTCTTGGCTTTCAAATAGCTTGAAAAAGCGCCATGCGTGTTTTACTTTCACTTTCAAATTAGCGGCAATTGAATTGCTGCAATTCTGCATTAAGCAATTGTTCGTTTGAGTTTTCCCTCTTTTCCTCAGATTTCTTGGCTTTCAAATAGCTTGAAAAAGCGCCATGCGTGTTTTACTTTCACTTTCAAATTAGCGGCAATT